CGTAACCCGGCGGCGCGGCGGGGGTCGGCGGAGGGGCGGCTCCGGGCGGCCGGGGCAGGGGGCGGAGGCCTGGAGAAGCCCTCGGAGGGGCGTCTGGGCTCACCTCGCCCTGAAACTCCTGCAGGCACCGCAGCTGCCCCTGTTTCGCAGGTGGAGAAACTGAGGCCCGTGAGGTTAAGCGGCAGGTCCCTGCAGCGGAGCGGGCGGCTACGCCCCAGACTGAGGTCCCTAAAGCATCTCTTTTCCAGCCGCGCTCCCGCGGGGACGGCCAAGCAAACCGAGAACCGAGCAAATTGTCCCTGGGCCGCGAAACCTCCGCCCCCTTCCCAGCAGGCGCCGAGAAGTCAAGTCTGGACCCCAGAAGGGGCCACTGGTGGGCGCCGGCCTAGGAACTCCCCCGGGACATCCGACCCGGGTCCCCCGGTGGCGGGGAGGCGGCAAGCAGATATAGGAGAGCCCCATGCCGAGCCCGGCCCCGGACCCCCGTGGTCTCCTCTGTCCTCTGTGACACCCTTGCCATATTCCCTGTCTCCAGCTGTTCACCTCGCCCCTCGGGACATACCATGCTGCCAAGCACAGACGTGGACCGGGAGGTGGGGTGGCTCCCTTCCCCTGCGGGAGCCCGGGTTGCTAGGGTTTCTGTAATGTATACAGAGGGAACCCGGTTGGAAAGCTGATTCATGCAGAGGAAGGGAACCAGAAGGCTCCCTGGAAAACATCCAGGGTAACCCCTAGGCTTGACAGAAGGAGAGAACAGACCCAGGCTGGCAGGCTCCAGCACCTCAAGACCAGGTGGGGCTGTCCCAGGGTCTGTCCCTCCTCCCCGGGGTCAACGTGCACAACCACAGGTGCAAGTCTGATGGGTCCTGGTGTTTGGGGACACCTCCTGGGCTTCCTTGGCTGTGAAGGGGATGAGTCCACCTGACCCCCGCCATGAGGGTCCAGGGCCCAGACTTGGCTGGCAAGGGGACAGAAATCTACCTGATGGCTTTTATTGAAAATCAGTTTTTAAATACAGAGAGACTCACTTTTTGTAAGTTGTGTGAGTTTAATGAAGCCAAGGACTTGGTTTTATCTGTGGTAGCTACACAGTGTGCCAAGGCAGGCGTGGTACTGTGGGCGTCCGTAGTTATGTCACTGTCATCTTGGTGTGATTCATTGGTAGGGAACTGGTGCAGCCACGGCTCTCTGTGGAGGCTGGAGTGCTGAGCAAGGGGGAGCCCTGCATCATCCAGCTGCCTGCTACTGGGTACCTCAGGTTGCCTTGAGCCTCGGTTTCATCATTCGAATGGATGTGCTCCGGTTAGGCAATCTCCTAGATCTGATTTCAGTTCCAGGGTTTAGCATGCCCGTATCTGTGAGTGATTTTCTCAGGCACCTACTCAAGAGATAAGAGGTTTCTGCCACCCTCCTGCCTGGTGTCACATAGAGTCACCACGTAAGGCATGTCTGCCATGCTTAAAGGAGATGGGAGAGGTTCCTGTCATCTCTACAGCTTCTCTTGAACATTGAGCTTTCTAGAAAACGCTGGGAGGTGTGTGCGTGTGTGCGCGCGTGTGCCTGCCTGTTCTTAAACGATGATGTAACTTCATCAGACCTGGCAGACTGTCGGCTCCTGCTCTGGGAAGTTGATGAATGATCGACAGGACTTGAGCACAGAGGCAGGGGAAAGAGCCACCCTCTAGCCATTACTTCTGCCCTTGGAAATAACCACATTCAGTGAAAGTAACTAGAAACAGGTAACCTACAGCCTTGTAGACCCCTCTGTACCCTCCCTGGTGTGAAGTAGCCCACCAGCAGGCCTCTGGGAGAGCCAGCACGTGTAGACAGAGGAGAGGAACGCCTGGGCTGTCCCCCCCAGCCAGGGTGCTTCTTTCTGGGGACCTGGCCCTCGCCTGAAGTCTTATGCTCATGAGGTGGTCATACAAGGTGGTTGCTATAGGCAAATCTAGAGCAAATTAGAAGTATGGAGGGAAGCTGCACAGTTATCCTTTTAAAAAACTGATTTACAGCCGGGCGTGGGGCGCACGCCTTTAATCCCAGCACTCGGGAGGCAGAGGCAGGCGGATCTCTGTGAGTTCAAGGCCAGCCTGGTCTACATAGTGAGCTCCAGGACAGCTGGGGCTACAGGGAGACCCTGTCTCAAAAAGACAAAACAAACAAACTGATTTACTTATTTTTATGTCTGTGTGTGTTGTGTGCACAAGTGACAGGACAGATGTGCAGAGGTCAGATGTGCAGAGGTTAGAGAACAACTTGCAGAAGTTGGTTCTCTCCTTTGTGAGGTCCAGGGATCAACGTCAGCTCGACAGGCTTGGTGGCAAGTGCCTTTACCTGCTGAGCCATCTAGCCGGCCCCCACATGATGATCTTGGCAGAGTAAACAGTGAAAACTCAGGACCTGCTCACTGTGACACCTGGCCAAATAGGGTCAGCTCAGGTACTCAAGGAGCAGAGGTGTGGGCTTCCTAGAACCCATCAGCATTCCAGCAGCTCCGACCAGCCAGGGACTGCCATCTTTATGTCATTATTTTCTAAAACCTGTACCCCGACATAGTTAAGGACTAAATAGCATGTGGCGGAGTTCCAGTGACTGGAGGCAGCCTGCCTGCAGCCCTCCTTCCCCTTATTTGGACAGCCCTGGCCACATTTTCCTCCATTACCCAACCGTCACCATGGAGAGTGTGGCTGTTTTTTTAACAGGACAAACATTTTCTGCAGATTACAGCAAGCAGGCCCCAGGGAGTTGGCTCATACCAGGAAGTAGCAAACAGTGCTATAACACTTGGAGTTGTAAAATGCCATGGGGCTTGCAGAGGTACAGGCTGTCTGTCCGATCCCTGTTATATAAAGTTGGAAAACAGGTGGAGTATGCTGGGCTATGAGAAGCCAGGCGCGTGGGGGCTGGTCAGAGGGGCATGTTCAGTTCAGGGATGTATATCGAGCCTTACAATGTCTGCATCTATACTTCCGTCTCAAGAAAATGACCCCCATAAACAAATGAGCCCTTTGCTCGGTTCAGTACCCCCCCAGTGTATTTATTTTCCCGTTAGGCAGGAGGCTGTTATCAAACAGCCCCCTGCCTTAGTAGAGGCTGGCGCTGTGGCCCAGGCTGTGCTTTCCTTCCTGTTCCTGTTTTGTTTTAAACTATTTGTCATGGAAAAGTGTGAATAACTGCTAGAGCAATATGGTGCAGTCTCCTCCCCCACCCACAGTCATGATCTCATCACCTACTGCACTTTGCCAGTGTGCCTCTGTCTGGCCAAGGTGAGGGAAGACACAGCCAAGTGACTAGGTCAACAACCCCAGTTTAACCCCTGTCCTAAGGTTGCCTGCTATCTAGGGGCAAGGCCAGGGCATGAGCATGGGAAGGTATGGGCTCAGGCCCAGAGGATCCCAGCTAGGCTGACCTCCCTCCCAGACTTTTCCCTTAAAATACCACCCCCACCATTGAGGTTCCCTGGGGCTCCCATGCCAGGCCCTGAGTAGAGGAGGCAAAGTCTGCTCTAACCAGCATCCAGTTCTGCCAGTTTCACCCAGTGAGGTCAGTCCATGAGGGCCACTCGTGCTGAGCCATGCACTTTCTGGAATAATGAGGTTTGGGGTGATTTGGCTCAGTTTGTTGTTTTACATTTCTGGCATGGGTACTCAGCCCTCTTTGCAGAAAGGTTTTTCCTCCCCTCTGAGGTAAACTGTGGCATCAGTGACTTCAGTTCAAATAGACCCCCGTCCCCAGGAGCTGGGACTGTCAGACCCAAACTAGGAGCCCTGGGAACTGAGCTCCATGCAGAGCCCCCAGGGTGTACCACAAGGGGTCGGGGTGTGAGTCTCCATCCCACCCAAGGCAGAGGTACCACCAGCTGCCCCAGCAGTGAACTCACTCTCTTCAACTACTTGTATTGCCTGACTGACTGGCTGTTTTCCTGCAGTGATTTAGCCTTGAGACTGAAAGCTGGTATTGTTGGACACTTAACTACATTCCAGATAGTTTGTGCAGATCAAGTTACTTCATCCTCCCAACCATCAGGAACTGTTCTTATCCCCATCATGAAGCTGGGGAACATGGTACAGAAGTTGAGGATCTTGTCAAAGCCAAAAAGTGGTGAAATACAACTGATACTTGGCCATCCTGGGCTGTTCACTTAGCTGCCACTGCTGCTCACCTTCATAACTCACAGCAGAAAGGGTGGGTGGGCTGCTCATCTGGGGACAAGAGGGGTGTGATCTGGAGTGTTAGGGGGTTGGGGTAAGCAAGTGCCTTTGCACCCTGGATGGCCCCTTCTTGTAGACTCGGGTGGCCTCAGGTGTAAAGCTAGGAGGACTGGCTAGAGTATGCTCAGCAGTGAGGTGGAGCCATGTCCTGCAGGCCGAAAGTCAACACAAGGGGCTCAGATCATCATCAAGTGCCACCTGTACCTGTGGTCCCTTAGCCTCACCCCTCCCCGCTCCCACTGCTTGAGCCCTGGCCTACTGCTCTGCTTTTCCTAGGCACGTTTTCATATCCTGTGTATTCTAGTTCCTGTTTGTTGTCTATGTTCCCTGCTGGATGGTGAGCCCCAGGAGGTCAGGACACCATCTGTGCTGTTGGTCTCCTGGGGGTCATCAGGGAGCAGTGCTGCATGTGTGCCCCGCGGTTCAGTATTGCTACTCAGGTTTGTCGTGGACTCTCCCCACAGCCCTCTCCTCGCTGGTGCGTGGTGTTGCAGAGTTCTGGGCTAAGCTGGCCCCTCTCCTAGTAGGTGCACAGTGCTTTGTGGTGCAGATCCAGGCTAAGCTGGCCTGCCTCTGCTAGTGGATGCACAGTGGTGCAGAGTGCCAGACTATGTATGTGCCCTCCACAGCATATACCATGTCCTGGAAGTCTAGGAGAAAGGACTCCAAGCTCCTACCTTCATGTAGCGTGCATACTAGAAGGAAAGGAGCCACCAGCCTGACACATTGGTGCTGTGTGGGAGG